TAAGTGGTAGTAAATGAGTTAGTACCAGGTACAGTGGTAGTTGATGGAGGTGGAGTCTCGATGACGACCAATGGAGGTTGACCAGATGGAGTTGTGGTGTAACTAGTAGTGAAAGATCCTGTCCATGGAATAGTCGTGGTCGATGGATGAGGCACTTCTACAATAATGGATTCGGTAATGCCACTGGAAGGTGTAACAGTGTACGTTGATGTGTAAGGATTAGTCCAGAATGTGGTACTTGTAACTGTTGCTGAAATACATTGAGGTTGTTCGTTTGGAGATGGATAATAATATTCTGGAGTATTAGTGACAGAACCGTCTGGGTAGGTCACTTGTAATTCCATAACCGCACCTTTTGGTGCTTGATTATAATAAACAATCTCAATTGGATAATATTGGCCACCTTGCAAAATTGTTGAATTCTGACGAATTTGCAGCCCACCATAGTCATTCCCATTGATTGTTCCGTAATTGAGTAGTTGGTAGTTTTGGATGTTTGTTGAAGGTTCCTCACAACAAGCAAAAGCAGCACCAGACCCTATGGTTACTGCAGCAGCATCATCAACATTCTCGATACTGAATGTATAGTTACCAGTCTGAGGAGCGTACAAGTAACCAGAATATCTCAAACCAAAATGATGATAATTTGTAGTTCTCCCATATAACAAACGTAAATCAGGATCGTCACTTGAGATATCTTGAACATTGAAGTTTATGTCCTCAACACCGTTGACTCTATCATTGGGAGTCATTGAAGCTATATTGTTAAGATAGTCTACGAATTCTTTACCAGGGTCTTGACTATCTAGTGGAACAGCGCTATATTCTACGTCATCATAGAAGTCAACTCTCAAACCAGGATCAATCTTTGTGGGAGTACAACCTTGTCCCACATTGAAGTCACCTTTTGCTAAGGTAGTAAGTAAAGCTAAACTATTGAAGGTTGAGAACTTCATAGTAATTAATCTTGATAATAGATCTTGGTGGATGAGGTTTTGATTTTATACTTGAAGCGGAGATTCACAAATCGACTGTCATGAGCAATTTCATTTATCCTGAAATGCATTCATCCATTGAGAAGAGTTCCTTTCTTGAATTATTACCTAAATGAGAGATTATTTGTCCTTAAATGGATAATGATTAAGACACAGGGACTTGTGCTCAATTCATTGGCTACGAATGCCGAATTCTGGTATAATATGATGTGAATAAAATGTTAATGGGGCTAAAATTGTACAGGAATTCTATCCAAGAGTCTAGAATGGTCACAAAACTTTTCAGTGGACCAGATACAAACCTCGGACTTGATGATTTTCAAGATGGTTAACGTCACTTTTTAAATGAAAGATTATCTCTGGTTTTACTCAAACCCGATGGAAGATTGATTCTTGGCTCCATATTGTTTCCTTCCCTGGCCAGATTCATTAGACCTTTCTTTCAGAAATATAGATATCATGTTAAAAATTACTTATGTGACTCCTTTCCAGTCATTGTCCTTCCTGGCTATTACTCAAAATGTTACATTCTCATCCTGATTAGGTTAATATCTTTTATTTGCATATTTTCCTAAAGTTGTGATTAATTAACATTTTGTGCATATACTGACGATGTCTTAATAACAAAAATGCAAACTACTTAAAGAGGAAGTTATATGAAGCTTGCATTCAACTCGATAGTCAGTTTCAACTTGAGAAAACTCAGAAGTTCAAGCTAGGAACCTTTGGACTCAAAGAATTTGGACATATATGCATTTTGGTATTGACTACCAAAGAAATTAATGTGATTGTTTTCATATATTGGGAGATGTGCATATAAGTACAGGAAAATTTCAGGAAATGCAGATACTCGAAATGATATTGATGAGATTTTTACGAGGCAGTTTCATCTCATTGAACTTTATCAATTAAGGTGAATGAGTAATTACTGGAAGCACGTCAACAATAAACCCCTATTTCATTTGTAACAAAGAGGATTAACTACTACCCAAAATCAAAATCCCGTGATAGCCTCCATCGAGGTAAACACATTGTCTCTGTAGATCCTCAGAAACAATGACCAGCGATTTGAGAGGGATCCTATTGTTTCACCTGGCTCATAAATAAATGACAATACTATTCAATTTTGAAATAATTGTCTTAATTCACATAGAGTATTCAGTGAGCAGCTGCAGGTGTATGGAGATCATAATAGGGCTATACAACTTTTTTTCTTCGAAGTCAAATTCGCCGTTTCCCCAAATATAGATTTTCAGATCACAGTAGCTCAACCAGTTTCTCAGCATAATACATGGATAATACAAGGAAATTTATGCGACTAAAACGAAATGTGCGGATAAAACTCGTGTCCGACTGCGCTTTTATCCTGGTATTTTTCCACTTCGAACATTTAGCTTTTCAAATCGAGAAAATTGGTTAAACATTCCCGTTCGTAATATTACCTCCAAAGGTAAGTAAAATAATAAAATCTTTGTTTGAGATCTTTTTGGGAGAAATTCCGCCAAATGAGGAAATATTTTGATATCCACATCGAATGATGGCATTGTTATCATTTAAGACAGGGTTTGAATAGAAATAATAAATCTCAATGCAAAATAATTTTCTGGGAAACAAAAGTGGACTTGAAACCGTATTCACCTGATTACTAACTTAAAATGTTGAAATGAGAGGTCTTGAAAAAAATTTTTTGGAGAGCACGACTGAGAAATTCCTATCTTATTGTTGTTAACCCCTTTTGAAAAAATCAGGACATCGTCAGAACATCAAATAATAGTAATTACGAAAACCAGAAAGTTACGCCCAATTAATTGAAACAATTGGCCCGGATGAAATGGAAATGATATGAAATTAAACTACCCACCCCCAACGAACGGTCAAATTGAAAAATTTTCCAAACTGGTTGTATTGATTCGAGTTATTAGATTAGTACCATTACCAAGCCATTTCTTCGAAGGTACTGACAGATAGCTGTTCATTTTCAAAAGCCTTATCTGGTATACATCTACCCACAAGATATTCAGCGGCACATCTACGAATTTGTCGTATAGAGAGGAGACGAGTTTACATTTGTGTCGAGGTATGAAGGATAAAGCAGATGGCGAGAATTAGGACTACCGCGAGTTTTGTCGATTAATTTTATCGACGATGAAGGTGATGGAAAGTGTTTATTGATGTTCTTTTGTTAGGCTTCAAGTTTCTTGTCGAATCTAGGTTGAATACAATTTCATATTTGAGAAATCCAATGATCATTGTGGAGTAGAAGATAGTCATTTGTTAACTAGAAACGCTTTGAAATTTATGAATAATGGACAACGACTGGGAAAGTTGCGATTTTTTACTGCATTACCACATTCTCTTATTCGGATGGAAATCTTGTTGCACTGAACTGACCTCTGGTCCAAGATTTAGGATATAATTGAGCCATTTTTAAGCTACTTCCCTAATTATAATTGGACACCTCATAGATTACAGATGTAGGCAATCTTAAACCCAGGCCCAAAATCTGTTTCTCAGTTCGAACACGGAAGAACTCGAGAATTTCAAATATTTGTGAAGGCTGTTAAGGACAAGTAAGAAGGATCTTTGAGTCAGAACGTTGAATTTTTTGACGCGACATGAGTATGTCTGCCACTTCACCAACCCGCGCGATTCGTCTGTGAGAAAAGATCTTATTTGTCAGGAAAAATAGGGCTCCATTACTTCTTTCAGAAATATTACATCAAAACGGAACCAAGGGGATGTCAAAAAATATGCAATTACCGCAAACCCAAGTGCCAAGAATTTGAAATGATTCGGCTGGCCGTTATCAATATCTCAAGACAATACCAAAAGCTCCTTGTGTTCCGAATTAAATACTTTCTTAGATTGTTGGGGCCATCTTATCAATTTTTAACGGAAGAGGATCCCCAAGTTTGTTGGTAACATAAAATTTCAATATAACTATCAAGCCAAGAAGATACTCTTTTAATCATCCTCAAACACTTTACACACATACTTTCTGCTGGTGAGATGAAGTCAGCTATTTAGACGTTAAGTTTGCCGATATGCTCTTTTGGACAATGGAATGATATTTTTTTACCAAGATCATTATTTTTGCCGCGATCTTATCAATTTTTTACTCATGATCATTACTAATCGGAGGTAAGAATACAAATTTATATGAAAAACTGGAATCTCGGAAATTCCAATCGCAACGCAAAACATGATGAATTGATTATAGTTATGGATTGTGTATATCAAGCATGCTGAGGAATTTGCAACACTCTAGATCTGCTGAGATCGACCTTAATTTTGGTTATGTTAAATACGCACTAAAAATTTTGCAGCCAAACCTGTGTATTTTTTGGGACTAATTTTTAGCTCACCTCAACCTTTTATTATTTGAGATACTAGGTGCAACTTTATAAACTCTTTCTTAAGAAATGTGCTTTGACTTTCATTTATGAAATCTAATAAATCAAGTAGGTATGGCTCCTTAATTTTTTATATTCCAACTACATTCTTACATGATAATTTATATTCCTACTTTAACCATGAAGGTCTAAATACGATAGGAGATATGGCATAAAAAAGGTCTGCAAGGACCCTTGATACCGAAGCATCATTCATCAAATATCTTTAAATGCTTCAGCTCGCAGAAAGATGGAAACAAGCTTGAAATTTACTCTCAGTACTGTTATACGCACGTGACGCGAAAGAGCGAGTCTCACCTCCAGAATATCTAACCTATTATTCAAGTAAAACCTGCCTTTCGAAAGAACTTGCACATTTCAAAGTAGCTGAATGTTTTTTGATTATATTATCGTAGTTGAAACAAAAAATTGTTAGAAATGTAAGAAGTTCAAATAAGAAAGTTGTTAAAATATTTATAATATATGATATAATTATAGAACTAGTAATGAAAAATAGAAATAAAAAAGAACCAAAAATCTTCTTGAGGCGTTCAAGCCGATAGAATACCAAAACCGGTTCAATAATTTTTTAATATATATTTATTTTCTGTTGTACAGTTATTTTTACAATTAGTGAGAAGACATGAAAGTTGCAAAAAATAGAAGAAAAAGAATTAGAAAAAAATGTGCGAACAGTGAAGGACAGTTAG